ATCTAAAAAAGTAATGAACGTTATTAATTATGCATTGATTGTCGCCGCAGATTGGGCGACATGATACCTTGTAAGAAAAGAAAAGAACTCCGGCTCCCCAATCATCAATCCAAACTCACCCTTGATTTCAGGGCTTCATTGACCGACTGACCAGAAGAGAAATTTTATTCATTTAAAAAAAAAAAAAAGAGGGAATCAATGAAAAATGAAGTATAGAGCCCCACGTCAAATATAGACAATAAAATAATTCAAAGATGATTTTTTAAATAAATTTTTAAATAATTTTATATATCATATAATAATTAATTTTATTTGTTTTATTAAAATTCATGATATTATATTTTATCTATTTTAAAATATTTATTGTTATTTAATTTTAAATTGATTAAATGCTAAATTTGGTCCCTCAAGTTTATTGAGTTGCACCTTTTTGATCCCTCAACAATTTTTTGCACTTTTTTGATCCCTTAACTCTAAGAAATGCACAACGTTAATCATTTCGTCTATTTGAATGTTAACTCTGCCTATGTTCTGCCTATGTGGCATTCTTTATATTTTTTTTTATGATATGGATAATCCAACTAGAAAAAAATGATGGCGTGGATTGTTTAATTAGAAAAAATGATGACATGGAGATAAATTTTTATATTTTTAATTAAAAAAAAAAAAACTTCTCCACCTGTTTTCTTCCCCCTCTTTCTTTCTCTTTCTTCTTCCTCCTCCTGTTGCTTCCTCTGCTGATCGAACCTTGCCAGGCTAGGATCCTCCCCCCTTTTTCTCTTCTTCCCCCTCTTGCTTTCTCTTTCTTCCTCCTCCTGCTGCGACCTGCCAAACCTTCTTCACCCTCTTTCTTTCTTCCTCCTTCGGCTACTAGGTTCATTTGAACCCAGAACGTTGGGTTCGTTTGAACCCAATTCTGGGTTCCACGAAACCCAGTAACAAACCTAGTTTTGGGTTCCATGGAACCCAACAACATGAGTTCAAGTAACCTGATTTTTGGGTTTTCAAACCCATGTTTATAGTTTTTTTTTTTTTTTGTTTAGTAACTCTAGTAATTTCTATGCATATATTAAACCCTTTTGTTTAATATATTTTTGTTTTAAATATTGTGGTTGTGGGATGGTAATTTAATATTATGAATGCTGCAAAATTTTGTTTGTATATTTTAATTTGGCTATTTCTCTTGTGAGCATATGATCATTAAGCTGGATTGAAGTAGCATGAATTTTTAAGGTTTTGATTTTGTTTTGAGAAAGCAAGAGGGGAAGAAGAGAAAGAGGGGGGAGAAGGTTTGGTGGATCCTCGCTTTGCTGGGTTCGGTCAACAGAGGAGGCAGCAACAGGAGGAGGAAGAAAGAGAAAGAAAGAGGAGGAAGAAGACAAGTCGAAAAGGTTTTCTTATTTTTTTATTAAAAATATAAAAATTTATCTGTATGTTATCATTTTTTTTAGTTGGACGATCTATATCATCATATTTTCAAGTTGGACTATCCATATCATCAAAAAAATATAAAAAATGCCACATGGGTGGAGTTAATGGCTCAAATTGATGGGAGGACTAACGTTGTGCATTTCTTAGAATTAAGGAATCAAAAAAGTGCAAAAAATTGTTAAGGGACCAAAAATGTGCAATTCATAAAGTTAAGGGACCAAAATTAGCATTTAACCTTTTAAATTTATTTTAAATTAATTATCCAATTACAAAAGATTTTACTTTATTTTTTATTTTTTTAAATAATATAAATAAATACATATGTTATCTTAAATTCTTAATTTAAAAAAAAATTAAAAATAATTATTTTTAAAAATATATATTAATTAATTTAATAATATCCAAAACTATATAAAAAATTGTCCGCCTATGTTTCCCTTACTCCACATGCCACCTCTCTTAAAAAGTTAATCTCAGTCGATTTTTTTTTTATTAATTTTTTTATTTAATAATTATATTAAATTTTAATTATTTAAGAATCAAATTATGTCATATCTTACAAAAAAAAAAAATAAAAAAATCTCAACATCTAATTCCTACTTCATAAAACTTAAATTTGAAAAAAAAATTAATTTCTCTCTTTTCAATCGAATCAACCCATCATGATACAGTGGATGTTTCAGATTATGCGTAAGCAATTATGCAATTACGGCTCGTTCACGAATAAAGGACAGCTACAATTAGCCCTGGGCATCTGAAATCGAAACCGACGGATTACTTGAAAATCGAATTCAAAAAATGAATTTGGTTTGGTTTAAATAGTTTTCGGTTTTTACCATTTTAGTTTTTATATTAACAAAATAATTTCGATTTGGTTTTGATTGAATTTTTTAAAAA